TGATTGTCACACAATGCTTGTCTTATACTGACTTGTGTTGCAATGCGAGATGAAAGGCAATAACTCGCTTACCTCATATATTTAAGAAAATGCCCAGGAAACTCCACAATAGGCTCGAAGGCACTTGATTCTAGAGTAAGGTTTCCAGATCATTCTGCTTCGTTCTCAGTGCCACTGGACATGCCGATATGGTTGTAGCACAGGTCTAAATATAGCCCACCACTGCCCCTCACTGACTATACAGGTATAATGCACAATAGGTGAAACATCGGTGCACAATGTATAACTCTGCCTCATAGCATGTTGCAACCCATGACATGATATCTGGAACTCTAACAACTGAGCATGTGGTCTATGGACACACGTCATTCAGCACCATAACTATCTGAACATACATTATTAAGTGAGTGAGTGAGTGAGTTCAAATTTATAGTCACATCGGCAATATTTCAGCCATATTGTGACTTAAAAAGTTATATATTAACAATAAACACATTATTAAGAGAAATTAAAGTTTACTTACCAGGTCGTTTCAAGCTATCAGGTAATCCAGAAACTGATAGTGGTACTTATAGGTCTTGGACCCGCAGAATTTTAAATGATGATAAATCTTAGTTATAACTACAATTCCAAGATTTGGTGCAGACAACAGATTTTAAATATATACAGCACACAATCTTCTATAACTGGAAACTGATACCAATGCAATATACACGAAGTCTGTCCTGATGTATACGACACTATATTTGAGAATGTACAAGGTCTTGCTCATACAAAGTCTTGTCTATATTCCATTAACCTTCAAAACATTCACGTGACTGCCCTATTCATGAAATATAAGCTACACCAACCAAGTGGGTCGGACAGAGGTCAGACCCAACGCTACATTACCCACGACTGTATTCAGTAATCAGTGGATTGTGACGACTGAAAGGAAATTTACCTTGGCTTAAGTCACACTTGGGATTCACCCCCACACTCACAGAGTCAGGCACCTAATCGAAAGTATACAAAGTCAGCCGTCTAACCCACTCAGCCATCGCGACTACCAAACAAATGGAAGTCGGACAACTGATAGTCTAGATCACGTACTGTGTTTACCCTGGCGGCGGCGTGGTCATGTGCTCAAAGCTCAGGTCACAAATCTGTGAAGTTAAGCCGCGTCGAGCTCGGAGAGTCCTTGGATGGGTGACCTTGTTTGGCAGCTTGACTCCTGAGAGTTTCTAGGACTTGAGTCCTGCCCCACAACGAAGCACATGTGACACATGTGGTATCACCTTAGGCAAGTGAGTTTGTTCCAAAGTGTCTCTGTTCACCCAGCAGGAAAATGGGTACCCGGTGGAAAAAGTCATATGACTATAACCTTCTAGCGCCTAACAGGCAGCTTGGGTTATCCGGGGTAATAATGTGCTGTGCCTTGATTGTTAGCGCTATGAGCATACCTAGTGTTGAGTTTGGCGCTATATAAATGGACACATTATTATTATTATTTTTTACCCTTCTAACAAGCGTAAATTGGCACAGCTCCCACGACCGAAAGCTATGAACACGTAATAAGTGACTGAGTCAGTTGGGTTTTACGCCGCACTCAGCAATATTCCAGCTATATGGCGGTGGTCTGTAAATAATTGAGTCTGGACCAGACAATCCAGTGATCAACAGCATGAGCATCGATCATCGCAATTGGGAAGCGATGACATGTGTCAGCCAAGTCAGCGAGCCTGACCACCCGATCCCGTTAGTCGCCTCTTACGACAAGAAACACGCAATGTCATTTAGAAAGCGTTTATGTAACATATGTTATAATTGGGATTCAACATTCTCTGTACATTACACTTGTTTTAATTCTTTCTTCGGAACACACTCCTGGAACGGTTGCAGTGGGTAGCGAAGTGATTTGAGCGTTCGCTCGTCACGCTGATGATCCGGATCCGATTCCCCACCGCTGTGATATTACTGGAATATTGCTAAAAGCGGCGTAAATCTAAACTCACTCACTCACTCACTCATGGAACGGGTTACTCGATCCAGCAGAACAGCAACTGAATACACATATAAAGGTTTCAGACACATGTACCAATATCAGGTGTTTGGGAATACTTCATTTTGGCACATTCTCAATATTCTTTCAAATATGTTTGTTTGTTGCTCAATGCCTCAGCAGTCAGTCAGTCGGATCCAGATATTGACACCATGGGCTTCGATCCATGACAACACGATGACATACCTTCCACACTGTCACAGAGCGAGTCAATACAATCCATGCAGTCGTCTTGAGGTCACGGTCGCTTAAGGGTCATTCGTAAATATGTGCAACGCGACGGTGAAGTCAGTGAATTTAATTTGACAAAATCAATCCGTGTTCTGACTATAAACAAATACGCGGAAATTTTATCCGTTCAACTCATAAATTATTCAAGTCAGCTTTTTAAAAGTTTCACAAACTGTGCCGCTTCATAAATCATATACTAGCACTGAACATTGTTGTAATCCGTCTCAATTATGAGCCGCTCCATAAATCATGTATTAGCAGCGAACATTGTTATAATACGTCTCAATAATCAGCCGCTTCATAACTCATATACTAGCATTGAACATATTTGTAATCCGTCTCAATTATGAGCCGCTTCATAAATCATGTATTAGCAGCGAACATTGTTATAATACGTCTCAATAATCAGCCGCTTCATAACTCATATACTAGCATTGAACATTGTTGTAATCCGTCTCATTTATCAGCCGCTTTATAAATCATGTATTAGCAGCGAACATTGTTATAGTGAGTGAGTGAGTTAAAATTTAAAGTCACTTTGGCCACATTTCAGCCATATCGTGACTAAATCAAGTTAGATTAATACAAATTAAAGGTACATTATAAAAGCCTGTCAACGAAGGACAGTAAAACAACTAGATTACCACAGACAAACTTTAAAACTAGTTATTAAATCTAAATTTTTAAAACTATACATGGCAATACAATATAAAAACAGGCCATAGATTGCCAACAACTGAAGGTAGATCACAATACTAGGGACCATGGGGACCTACAGTACATTTGCTTCCTGCATGGGTCCTAGTTGGATTTACATCATCCCTTCAGCCGTTAGCAATTTAAATAATCTAGCTATGCATTGAAAATACACATATCCTACAATTAAAACAAGCGGAAAGTTTAAACTTACTTTGAATGTTTTGGGACTTACGTACCCTCTCGGGAGGGCAATAATTTTACAGTACTTTAAACCCCCTAACAACCTGTCTTACTAATTTAAACTTGCAATCATAATTTTTTTATCTATTTACAAATCATTTAACAAATCTATTTCTTTTAAAAATGTAAGAACTAAATGAGAACTGATATAAAAGGATCCTTCATAGCTCGTGATTTGAAATAGTTATTCCTTGTGATGGAATATTCAACACAGTCAAGCAAGACATGCTTGACCGAACATTGTTATAATCCGTCTCAATAATCAGCCGATTCATAAATCATATATTAGCAGCGAACATTGTTATAATCCGTCTGGATTATCAGACGCTTCATAAATCATGTATTGGCAGCGAACATTGTTATAATCCGTCTGGATTATCAGACGCTTCATAAATCATATAATAGCAGCAAACATTGTTATAATCCGCCTCAATAATCAGCCGCTTCATAAATCATATACTAGCTTTGAACATTGTTATAATCCGTCTGGATTATCAGCCGCTTCATAAATCATGTATTGGCAGTGAACATTGTTATAATCCGTCTGGATTGTCGGCCGAAACATATTTCAACGGGGTGAAAATGATAAAATGGTGAATCCAATGAACGTATGAAACGATCAGTGAAACTCAGTGATAGCACCAGATCTTCTGAAGAGGAAAGCATGCCTTGCTGTAAGAGGACGTCCGCCACTCAATTAATTTATGAATTTAATATATCCCCCAGCAATGTAACCCGTGAAGATCCGGCTTAAAATTGATCATCTGCAACCCATGCTTGTCGAAAGAGGCGACTATCGGGATCGGTAGGTCAGGCTCCCTGACTTCATTGAAACATGTCATCGTATCCCAGTCGGTATGCTTATGTTGTTGATCACTTTAGTGTCTGGCCCAGGCTGAGTATTAGCTGGAATACTACTGAGTGCAACGTTAAACAACAGGCAAACAAACTAAGCAATGTTTCTGTCGATAGCGGCGTGTGATCACTACATTCGAGCTTCTATTAAACAATACAGTAATGTCGAATATGGAGCGGCCAATCCTGTCATCAATGCCCATTTAACCACATCTGTATGTACACGAATGAGTGAGTGAGTTAAAATGTAAAGTCATATCGGAAGTATTTCAGTCATATCGTGACTATGGGAGTTGTATATTAATAACAATAAACATGAACGTTGTAAACACCTGTGGACGGTACGATAACTAGGCCATCACACATTTACACTATAAACTGGCAAGTAACCATAACATAGATTTCTATACACGTCATCATAAAATATAAAATATAAAATATAAAATGGACGACATATCGCTAATTAGCTAAGCGAGATAACTGTATTTGTGTGTGTGTGACATGTGGTAATGCTTGATGTTTGTTGTTTAACGCCGCACTCGGCACTTTCCAACTATATGACGACGTTCGTTAAATGATCGAGTCAGGACAAGACAATCCAGTGATTGACGTAATGTGCATCGATCTTCGCAATTGGGATACAATGTGTCAACCAAGTCAGCGAACTTGACCACCCGATCCCGCCAGTCGTCTCTTACGACAAGCATGGGTTGCGGATGACAATTCTAACCCTGATCTTCACGGATGTGTAGTACTTAAAGTGTGGTTAAATCAATACGGCACATTACACTGAAAGTAGAAACCAGTCGAACTAGTTGCGGACTATCACTGCACGGATTAGTGCTCTCCTACTCTGGCTCCTCTAAGCCATTTGCTCGTCCTGAACTCGTCACTTAGGCACATTTTGGGATAATGTTGTGAAAGTGTTACGTACCAGATGTTAGAGACAGCCGTTGGAAGTGATGAGGCGTTTAAGGTGCTGGATGACACTGTTAACACTCGAAGGATTGCAGATGTTTTGGGCTCGTCGGATTGTGGACAGAACCACTCGAAAAACCACTGGAAACAGCTGTGACATTCATAGCGTTTCAGCCGTTGTGTGACATTTCGTTCACAGCTTTCCGGAGGTTGTTTGACATCTCAAATATAACATGTGGATTTGAAACATGGACTGTGCGTGTTACATATAACAGAACCTGTCCGTCGTTCAGTTTATGAGCTGGTTAACCATTTGGTTAAAACATATACTTCTGACGGTGAGGGATAGTAAGGCAAGGTCATTCTATTGGAAAGTATACGATGAACTAGTCACGGCCAGGTCGTCAGGCATAACTCCCTTTCAAAGGAAGAAACTAAGTTCAACTCAGGTTCGCCAAGATACGTTTGAGTATAGCATCTCCAAGAGTGAATTTCAAATGCTTTATCAACAATAACACGTTTTCACTGAACTATGTATGCTACTGGAATAAAGTAACTGTGCATTATTTAATGTTGTGCCATTTTTAATGAAAAGGAAAATAACATGATTTGTGGTGTTTTCCTTAATCACTGTTTAACTGTTGACAGGATAATATCGAAAGCTGTATGATTTGACTCTAGGCATCGTGACACGCCCTTGAAGAGATGTGGTGTCAACAGTCAGTTTACAAATTCAGTATCGTGTGTGTCCACCATTGGCGTTGATGCAGGCCTGACAACGACGACGCGTAGGCGACACTAAGAAATTGAAGAAAGCTTTGTGAATGTTGTTCCATGTCTAAAACCAACTCTTGACCCAATTCAGCTGACGTCGATCGCTGATTCTGGGCTTGACGTAAACGTCTCTCCATTTCATCCCAAGCGTGCTCTATAAGGGGTAGGTCCGGAGAAACAGCTGGCCAGGGGTGTACCGGAATGTTCTGCTGTCCAGAAAATCTGTCTCAACAGGAGCAACATGCGGACGGGCATTATCTTGCTGAAGCGTGAAGTTACGTTTCTGTCCTTGAATGAACGGCTGCATATGAAAGGGCCCAATGATCTCATCCCTGAATCGCAGCTGTCATTGCCATTGACAATTAAAAGATGTGTCCGGCCCAAACCATACCATAACCCCGCCGCCTCCAAACTGTCGATGTTGAACAACGACAGCATACCGTTCACCTCGTCGTCTGTACATCCTTGCGCTGTCATCTGAGCTGTCCAGATGAAATCTCGACTCGTCAGTGACCAAAACACCATCCCAATCTTGTCTCCTGTACCGTAGATGCTGTCTGCACCAGGCAAGATGTTGCAGCAAATGTTGTGCTCACTCAGTCGGTTCCGTACAGTCCTGGAACTGATTAAGGCAGAGCAGTCTGAAATCGATTCCTTAGATGGGTCAGCCGAATGTGGTTGTCTTGCTAACGTGACGTCACGCGTGGGCGGCCGCTCCAGGGCAAATCTCTCGTGTTCCCATTATGTTGAAAACGTCTCCATAGAGATGAAAACGTGTTTCGATGGAATGAATAATGTCTTGCCACTTTATTTTAGGCTATTCCAGTATCCAGCATACCCATGGTAAGCTGTAAGCCGTGATATGACTTACGCGAAGTTTTCCACAACATTCAGAGGCTCAAGAATAATTAACCGTTCTTCAATTTTCAGTATCAGGTGTGTGAACATCTGGTGTCAAATATCATGCAAAATGTGAGTAAGTTTATTGTGCACTAAGTGCACGTGACACGCGCTATACGTGACATCAAATTTCACGTAAAGTGCTTTGCTGCATGTCTATTTATGATTATTTAAAAAACTTTTCAAATGACTATTATCTTATGCAATTTCATGTTATGCACAGTTACTTTTTTCCGTTAGTTTTTATTTCTACAATCCTCAATGCTATGTTTCTGGTGGTGTTCCCCGCCGTGATATTGCTGGCACATTGCAAAACTAAAGATACTCCCTTCATCAAAGCTCTGTGTTTTCAAGTCAAGCATTATCAGCTAGAGCCAATTACTTGTGTGGCTGTCTCTAAATCTATTGGGAACCCAAACGTGATAAAACTACCTCATATATGGAAGTCAATACTGTGTATAGCTTTTACTGACTGACTGAGTTTAGTTTTACGCCGCTTTTAGCAATATTCCAGCAACATCGCGGCGGGGACACCAGAAATGGGCTTAACACATTGTGCCCATGTGGGAATCGAACCCGGGTCTTTGGCGTGACGAGCCAACGCTTTAACCACTAGGCTACTCCACCGCCCTGTATAGCTTTACGTTAATTAGGAATCTTCTGTGGCATATGTGGTAGGGACATACTTTGTATGTCTGAGTGTTATGATTAGTTTGCGCCAGTTAGCTTTTAAGTATTGTAAATAATCATTAATTCTCTATCTTTATTTCAGCATCCAATAGGCGCTGATATATGCAATGTAAATATGTATTTTAATATATTGCTTTGTTTCAACTCACTACAGTGACTGAAATGAAATAGTTAATAATTCATGTATTTTAAATAAGTTTATTGTAGTTCATATAGTTAATCGCTTAGTTTTAGTAATACAACCAATAGTGTCTACCCAACCGTGACAACACGTTACGATTGGTCCATTCAAACCTGCATGCTTTTTCTATGCCTGAACACCTCGCACCCTGACACAACTGACAAAACTTGTGTGACAGACAGACGAACATAGGCGTCAACTTAATTCTCATCAGGTTAGTAAACTAACTATCTTAAATAATGTTTATGCATATCTAATGTAGCAGTAATTCAATAAGTAATCTTAAACACATAGCGTATATTAAATAAGGGTAATTAATGCCGTCAGGGTAGTTAACATGTGTTGTAATCGGCACGCGGGTAAACGCAAAGTTTCCATTTTAATGGGTATCATATACCTCCTTTTAAACATAAACAGCATTAAATAACTTCAAAGCCAGGCATTGTGAGTATGCTTTGTGTATGAATGTTGTCTAATTATTATTATCGCATTTTGCACAAATAATGGCAAAGTGTCTCAATCTAAGGTTTTACAGTGTATAAAATATATCTTTCCATGCTTATTGTTATGTCTGCATAGACAGTTTACACTGAATCGGTTTGGTTTTGATCGCAATCTATCTTTTTTCCAGCACACATTATTCCATCGTCTGCTATGACAGCCAGGCATAAACACGGGCCCCTGTGCCATACATAGGGTATGTAATGTGCCGTACAATACTGTTTATATCATGTGTATATATCATTCTAGCATACAGAATCATCGTTCCTTTATAGTAACCTTCTAAGGTAAATAGTGTATGCTGTGCGGTGATTGCCACCGATACCATTTATGGCTTTGTTTAAGTCATGTCATGAGTTATCGCCCCTGATCTTTGTAAAGTTCAATCCCTCGGCGATCATTATATTTCCGTAATGTTTTAATGTACAGATAATATTGTAGGCGCTCATGCATTCAAAGCTCTATTAACATTTATAATGTTAATATACTGAATATATATAAATAGATGTAAATGTATGCTCTGCAAGCATGCCGAACATTGCTATTATATTGTTATTATATTGTTGCTACAATTGTTTCAGGGTTTATCGTGTATGTTGAAAAAAATCTCCATCCACTTGGACATAAATCGAACTTACAACCCTGCATTCACTTTGCGTGTCGTCATTGTGACCCTGCTACACATATTAAATGTCTTATTGCAACATGTAAAATAATTACTGCTACCCCTTTCCTGACATGTGACGGTTTGCATAGCCGTACCTATTAATGACACACACATGGGTTTATCCTATTTTCCTGCTGTTTGAGTCTGCTTTGATCCGAATCATCATCAGTTCTAAATTGATGTCAGTCCCTCACGGCGAAAGCGTACAGTAATGCAGTCGACAGACGTAACCGCTTCGGCACATGTTTAAGCGTCGGAGAATAATCTTTCAGTCTAATTTCGCTTTAGATTATCATTGAAAACTTGCATACCCACAGGATGTACCTACGATATGTACGTTTATATAACATCATCTATATACATATTTGAATAATACATGATGTAATACCATCCGATACATCATTAACGTGATAATCATCTTCATGCGTCACTGTATAGTGACTTGGGTCAAGGACATATCACTGTAGAGTGACTTGGGCCCAGGATGTATCACTGTATAGTGACTTATGAGGGATGCTGTATCACTGTAGAGTGACTTGGGCCCTAGGATGTATCACTGTATAGTGACTTGGGCCCAGGATGTATCACTGTATAGTGACTTGGGCCTAGGCTGTATCACTGTATAGTGACTTGGGCCCAGGATGTATCACTGTATAGTGACTTGGCCTAGGGATGTATCAGGATAGTATCACTGTATGTATGACTTAGTGACCAGGCCCAGGATGTATCACTGTATAGTGACTTGGGCCTAGGATGTATCACTGTAGAGTGACTTGGGCCCAGGATGTATCACTGTATAGTGACTTGGGCCTAGGAAGTATCACTGTAGAGAGAAACTTGGGCCTAGGCCTAGGAAGTATCACTGTAAAGTGACTTGGGCCTAGGAAGTATCACTGTATAGTGACTTGGGCCTAGGATGTATCACTGTGGGCCCTCTGTAAGTGACTTGGGCCTAGGAAGTATCACTGTATAGGTGACTTGGGCCTAGGCTGTATCACTGTAGAGTGACTTGGGCCCAGGATGTATCACTGTAAAGTGACTTGGGCCTAGGAAGTATCACTGTATAGTGACTTGGGCCTAGGAAGTATCACTGTATAGTGACTTGGGCCTAGGCTGTATCACTGTATAGTGACTTGGGCCCAGGATGTATGGGGCCTGTATCAAAGTGACTTGGGCCTAGGAAGTATCACTGTATAGTGACTTGGGGTATCCTAGACTTGGGCCCAGGGCTGTATCACTGTATAGTGACTTGGGCCTAGGCTGTATCACTGTATAGTGACTTGGGCCCAGGAAGTATCACTGTAGAGTGACTTGGGCCTAGGCTGTATCACTGTATAGTGACTTGGGCCCAGGCTGTATCAGTATCAGTGACTTAGTGACTTGGGCCTAGGAAGTATCACTGTATAGTGACTTGGGCCTAGGCTGTA